CCACAGGCTTTCATTCAAGGGAAAATAAAAAGCAAACGTGTGTGAATCCGGAGTTCTTCTAATAAAAGCCAGGGTTCTAGGTGGAACGTCGGACCGTCCCGGTGACATGTCCGGCAGAGACAGACAGACCGACCAATGAGAGCCAAGGGCAGCTCGGTTCACTGAGACGTTCTCCAGCAGAACCCTCTCACACCTGAGCTCCGTGCTGACTCAGTCCTCAGCTCCGGGCCGATGACAAGGTGTTTCTGAGGCCCTTTCATCCACGGTCCACTGGGGGCAGCGAACAGCTGGAAGCGTTTAGACTCTGTTTAATACGAGGCAGACTGCACGCTGCTCCCTGCTCCGTCTCCTGTGTGGAGAGGGGCCTGCGATGTCAGAGACCACCCCGCCCCTCCCAGCCCAACCTCCCCCACCAGCAGTCAAAGAAAGCTTTGATATCTGGAGATCGGGAGGTGGCCTGGGTGTGTGGGGGTGGGTGGGGTGCCTCCACACGCACACACATTAGCGCCGTCACCACTGCGTGCTCTCTACCTGCTGCCCCGCGAACCCGTGTCCAATGAAGGAGTGGGACTTTGAAGTGCAGCGCTCCACGGCTTTAACCTCCTGGGAGGTGTGTGTGGAAAATAAAACCAAACCCTGATCTACAGCCGTGTGTCCTGTTCAGCTTCGTGCACGTTGTCTCCGTTAGATAAGGTACCGAGTTCTAGAACTCTGTTCCCCTGCTAACAGTACCAGACACAGTCGCTACAACGTGGACAAAACTAGGGCTCCGGTCCCTGGTTTTTACCGACAGGTATTTTCATTTGTGTACCTTTGTGTACAGGTGAACGGAGGGAGGTGTGAGTGGAGGAGGTCATGTGATCTCCGCCGGTGTCTTTGTCCAGAGCTGCTGACACATCAGCTCCGTGATTGGTCCACGGCGGAGGGCAGCTGAGTTAAACCGCCGCGGCCTGTGATTAATGGCCGACCCGCTCCAGCACCTGCGCTCCAAGGTTACGTACACAGACATAAATCAGTAGCGGAGGGTGTGCTGTGACAAGAATTATCACCTGTTTATCATGTGAACATTGGTGTGTGTGTGTGTGTGTGAGTGTGTGTGTTCAGCTCAGCTGGTTTTCATCTCTCTTCATTCTGTTGCTCCATCGTTCTCTAACCGATGGTGGGAAAAGTTTTTATGCTGGTAAAAACAAATGCACACACTCCAGCCCAGTAGGTGGCAGTAATGTGCCCTTAAAGTATGCATTGAGAGACAGCAGCGTTGAGAACAGAAACAAGTTTCACTCTTTGGACGTAGTTTGGACGAGTTGTTTCTGCAGTAGAAGGGTCAGTGGTTCGATCCTTGTCATATATGTATATTGAACGTTTGTTTGTCTCTAGTTTTACTGACCTGAACGG